AGATGATAAAATATTTATGATTATAAAATTTCTCATTTCTCCCTTTGACTCTGTTAACTTTTGCTTCATATATGTAGAGAGAGAAAGAGAGAGAGAGAGACAGAGTTTCACTCTTGTTGCCCAGGCTGGAGTGCAGTGGTGCCATCTCAGCTCACTGTAGCCTCCACCTCCCAGGTTCAAATAATTCTCCTGCTTTAGCCTCCCAAAGCTGGGATTACAGGCACCCACCACCATGCTTGGCTATTTTTATTTTTAGTAGAGATAGGGTTTTGCCATGTTGGCCAGGTTGGTCTCGAACTCCTGGACTCAGGTCATCTACCTGCCTCAGCCTCCCAAAGTGCTGGGATTACAGGCGTGAGCCACCACACCCAGCCTGCTTCATGTATTTTGTAATCCTGTTATTAGGTGCATATGTATATATGAATTTTATATCTTTTTGATGAATTGATCTTTTTGTTATAGTGAAACGTCTGTCTCTGGTAATACTATTTTTCTTGATGTCTATCTCATCTGATATTTATAGAACCACTGCAGGCTTCTTAGGAATCCTGTTTACATAGTATATTTTTTTCCATCAATTTGCTTTCAACTTATATTTATAGTACACTTTTTACACACAGCATATACTTGAATCTTGCTTTTTAAAAAATCTATTCTGACAATTTCTTTTAATCGAAATGTTTATTTCATTAATGTTTAATGTAATTGTTGATATCTGTGAAATTAAGGCCATCATTTTATTCTTTTTTTTTTTTTTTTTTTTTGAGACGGAGTTTCACTCATGTTACCCAGGTTGGAGTGCAATGGCGCGATCTCGGCTCACCGCAATCTCCACCTCCTGGGTTCAGGAAATTCTCCTGCCTCAGCCTCCTGAGTAGCTGGGATTACAGGCACACACCACCATGCCCAGCTAATTTTTTTAATTTTTTTTTTTTTAGTAGAGATGGGGTTTCACCATGTTGACCAGGATGGCCTCGATCTCTTGACCTCGTCATCCACCCGCCTCGGCCTCCCAAAGTGCTGGGACTACAGGCTTGAGCCACCGCGCCCGGCCCATCATTTTATTCTTTATCGTTTGTTTGTCCCTGTGCTTTTTGTTCCTGTGTTCCTCCTTTCCTTCCTTTCTTTGGATTATTTGAATATTTATCAAAATTTTAATTTAATGTATCTGTTGGCTTTTAGTTATGTCTCTTTTTATTTGTTTGGGATTTTTAGTGGTTTCTGTTTAGATTAAAGTGTCCATCATCAACTTTTCACAGTCTACTTAGAGTAAAATTATACTACTTCACATAAAGATGTAGAAATCTTCAAATTGCATAGTTCCATTTACTTCTCCAAACCTTTGTACTATAGTTTTTGTATGTAATACTATAAACCCTACAGGACAGTATTATAATTTTTTCTTTCAGCAATTTGATGTGTTTTGAAGAAAGTAAAGGGGATAAGAGTCTTCCTCATAGGCTCTTATTTTTTATAAAACAAAACAAAGCAAAAAACATGTGTCAGACTTTTCATTATTGTCCTACAGGTTCATGAATCTCTCTTTTTTTCATATTAAGTAATTTCTACTAATCTATCTTTAAGTTCTCAGATTCTTCCCTAAGATATTTTCATTTTGTTTTAAGCTCACCAGTTAATTTTAAACTTCAGATGTTACATGTTTTAATTCTATAATTAATAGTTTCTGTTTCTCTGATGATTCCGTTTGCTTTTCCTTTATTTTGAATATATTTTACTTTTTTCACGAACCATAGTTTTTTGTTGTTGTTTGTTTTATTTTGTTTGAGACCAGGCTTGCTCTGTCACCTAGTCTGGAGTGCAGTGGCCCAATCTCAGCTCACTGCAACCTCTACCGCCTGGGTTCAAGCAATTCTCCTGCCTCAGCCTCCTGAGTAGCTGTGTGCCACCACTCCCAGCCAATTTTTTTTTTTTTTTTATATTTTTAGTAGAGACAGGGTTTCAGCATATTGGCCAGGCTGGTCTCAAACTCCTGACCTCAAGTGATCCACCTGCCTTGGCCTCCCAGAGTGCTGGATTTACAGGCATGAGCCACCGTGCCCAACCCACCAAGCATAGTTATAAAAGCTGCTCTAAAAATTTATTAATACCAGTGTCTGGGTCATTTCAGGCATGGTCTTGTTGAATTATCTTTTATGTTTACACTAGGTCTCACTTTCTTGGTTTTTTTAGATCAAGTTGAATTGATCTTGGGCATTGTGACTATTGTATTGTGAAGACTCTGCACTCTCTTGTTGTCCTATAAAAATTACTGTTTTTGTTCTAGCAATCGATTATCTTGATTGTACTCAAAATATATAACGACTCATAAGCAGCAGCTCAAATTTTAATTCTGTTGTTTTATCCTTAACTGGCTGCTTGCAGGAGTTTGTAAACGTGCATGGTTTAGGGGCTAACCAGAGACTTGAACAGAAAGTCTCTTACACATAGGAGTCTCTCATGCAGGAAATGGAGCTGCCATCTTTGGCTCTCTTCTTTCTAGCATTCCCTTCTCCCTTTCTAGCAGCTTTGTTTGCCCCAACTTTGTCTTCTGGTTCTTCTGGCCGGAAGTAACATGGGTTTTCTAGCAGAATTTTAGGTGCTCCATGCAGTGCCAATTTCAGTCTGCCTTCAAGCTAAAAGCCACACAAATAGCAACTCCACCCAATGCAAGTCAGTTATACCAAGTATCAGTACTTTTTCTTTGCCACCTGCTTTTGTTCATTCTCCAGGATCTTGAAGTCATTTGTGGGGTGTGTGTGTGTGTGTGTGTGTGTGTGTGTGTGTGTGTGTATTTTGTCTAAAGCATTTTGTCTAGAGTCTATGGTTTTTATCTGTGGAAGGGTAAGTCTGATAAAGGCTTACTCAGCCATGTTGAATCAGAATTCCCCAGTCTTTACTACTTTTATTATCTTTTTCTGTTGCATTACTGGGCACTCCCTAAAAATTTATAAATAACAGTGGTGATAGATGTTACTTGTGCCATGTCATAGACTAATATATTACCATTAATGATGATGTTGGCTGTTAGTTTTACACAGATAGAATTTTTGAAATTATGTTAAAATATTCTTTTTTTTTTTTTTTGAGACAGAGTCTCGCTCAGTTGCTCAGGCTGGAGTGCAGTGGCATGATCCCAGTGCACTGCAACTTCTGCCTCCGAGATTCCAGCAATTCTGCCTCAGCATCCTGAGTAGCTGGTATTATAGGCACATGCCACCACGCCTGGCTAATTTTTTGTATTTTTAATAGAGATGAGGTTTCACCACCTGAGGTCAACTCTTGACCTCAGATAATCCACCTGCCTCAGCCTCCCAAAGTGCTGGGATTACAGGCATGAGCTACCTCATCTGGCCAATATTCTTTATCATATTAAGAAAGTATTATCTCTAGGTAGTTATATTATAGTTCTTATCAATAATAGTTGTTAAATTTATCAGATTTATCAGTATTACAACCATAAAAATAATTGCATCATTTTTCTTCTTTTTGACCTATGGGTAATGAATTGTGATAAAATATAGAAACCCTTAATTTCTTGATGATTTTATTTGGCTGTTGTAAACTTCTACTAGTAAAGCATTGATTGGTGTTTTATTTTAGATTTGTGAAAAATCCTGAAGTCGTAGGTAAGATTAGCTTATAGCCGTCTTTATTTTTCCAGGCTTTGGCTTTAAAGACTATGCCAGCCTATAAAAAGAACTGAAAAGTTGTTTATTTTTTAATTAAATTGATATTATATTACATGAGAATAATTTGTTTCATGAAAGCTTAAAATAGCTTATCCGAAAATCTATTTGGGGCTAGTTAGCCTTTTAAACTATATTTTAAAGGTAGTTATTTGAAACTTCTTTACATTTCTTTTAAGGATTATTGATACGCTCCAATTTCCTATTCCTCAGGACAATTTTGGTAATTTTTCCTTAGGACAAAGTTGCTTTGTCTTTCAAGACATCTGTGTCCTATCCCTCTCATAACTCTTCTTTTTACCTATTTGAACTTACCTTTTAATCCCAACGAATAATAAATCCTTTCCTGCTATAAATACACTGTTTTTCTGCCTGTCTTATGAACATTCCAGGCTTATGCTGTTGACCTCGCCTGAAATGCCCTCATCTTTTAAATCTTAGCATTTTCTTCCTCCTCTATGAAATCTTTCCTATTTTAATCTTTATTGACATCTCTCCCTTTTTAAACCCTTCCTCATTTATAGAGTGTATTGATTGGGTTGCTTTTTAGTATTATTACTCCATGTTATTTATTACTATTTGGTGTATGCAAATCCTATGTATCCCATCAAAATGTGAGGTATTGTGGCCTAGGCTTTCTAATATACCTTATTTTTATTTCATATTATTCATAACTAAATATATTCTGTGCCTAGTGTGAAAAAAATATGGGTTCTAAACAGTTATTTGTGTGGTTTGTTAATAGAGAATCACAAAGTATATAGTTTATATTAACATGTGCATATGTGTATTTTGGATGCCTAGATATGTATACTTTTATACAAAATATATGGACCCCATCTGATACTGTAGCCTAGGAAAAGCTATATCATTGTTTTTCAGTTTCTTCTTCTCTACTTAGAACTGATCTGCTGTACCTACTCTATGTTAGAGAGAGTAATGATTTGTTAAAACAGAGAAGGCTTTATTTCTCAGTATTTGAACTTTAGACTTTCCCTGAACTTGGAGAAATAAATTTTATATGAATATTAAGTTTTATAGACAAAGAAAATAAAAGTTAGTAAAAAGTATGAGCATAGGCAGATCTTTTAACTTCTGAAGGTTTGTTTTCTTATTGACAAAGTGTTACTGATAATGCCCATCTCATAGGTTTTTTTGAGGATTAGGTAATATTCATAACTATTTAAAGAAACAGACAGCTTCTAGTTATCATAATTCAATATTGCAAATGTGAATACCCAAGCATAAATTTATTAATATACACATGGAAAGAAATAGTTTCTAAGATAATTTTCCACCTTTCCTAATGTTTAGATGGAAAATGCAGGGCCTTCGAATGTTCTATATTCACAGCATAGACAAGCATGTAGAAGATCACTGGGTTCTACAGACTTTTCTCCTACATTCAACATTCAGTCTAATGCTCATGAAAAGGAAAAGGAGTCTACTTTATTTACAGGTATACAAATTGCATGTTTACACTGGAATAACTAAAAGTTAACTGCATCTAAACTTAGGATGTAAGCATTAAGAAAATCTTTAACCAAGGAATATTAGTCTGATTATACTACCACAACGATCTTTCCAGCCTTCCTTTCTTACTCTTAAATCTATCCACACCACACCGATTCTAGTCATACTTATCAGTAGCCAAACTACTGTGTGATTTGATGCATTTTCTGTTGTCTGTGCTTAAAACGTATGTTTTCACCTGCTAGATTCCTATTCATCTTTAATAGTTAAGAGATGTTAGCCTCAAGCAAAAGAAGATCCAATAGCCTGTTGCTTAAACAGTAAAGGTATTTATTATTTAAAAAAACAAGAGATCCATCAGAAAGGCATTTGCAGGGTTGGCTCATTCAGGGGCTTTATAATGTCATCAGATATTCATTTTCATGCATCTGTTTGACAGACCTGGAGTAGTTACTATCTGCTACTAAGGTTTCCACTACAGATGCAAGGAAAAAAATATATTCTTGTGCTTTCTATCTGTCTGATTGTGGCCACTGAGATTGAATAGAGGAATACAGTGGGGGGGAAATATCCAGTTCGTTTGTCTTTCCTCAATAATCTTAGCAGGTAGCTTGTCCTCCTGTCCTTGCTGTACAATATGATGATTACTATTCAAGATAGCCTGTGTGACTAGAAATGCTTTCTATGCCTTTGTAAGAATGAAAAAAAAGTTTTCCCAAAGCTGAACTCCCCCTTATGTCTCTTTGACTCAGATAGCCTCAAGCATTCACATCCAAACCAATCATCATTGGCTTAGATCACTTTTTGTAACTTTTAATATGGCCACAGTAAGAAATACTTTTTATACTACACACACACACACACACACACGGAGCAGAAGATTCAGCTTCCTAGAGTCCTAATTATCTCTCTTTCTCTCTGTTAGTTGAATTTGATTGTAGTATTTTTGTATTTTGCACAGTTATTACTAAGGATCCAGACAATACATTCTGTTATACTCTATTATATTTCATTTTTTAATGCTGTTCAGGATACACTAAATCGATTTCACAAGATATGAATTGTTTGTAGCTCACATTTTGAAAAACATAGCTTAGATTATTCAAGATTTACTCCTTTGAGCCGGGAAAGACCCCAGCCTTCTTTGAAGGACATGGTTGCTTGGAAGGAGATAAGACTGGAGTGCTTTTAGTAAAGAAGGGTAAAAAAAGACTGTGAAGTAGGCAACCCTCTGTTTATCACATTGTCCTTTAAGGTGCCACTCAGATGTCACGTCTTCTCTGAAGTGTTCCCTGAGAGCAGTGACAGGATGCTGTATTCGTTCAGCAAAGCAATCTCCCTTTAGAAAAGTTCTTGAGTAAACATTTTATACTTTTTATCAAAGTCCCAAAGTAAGACTTCTGGGAAAGTTGTCAACATAAATAGAAATTCATCCTAGCCAAAATGAATAACCAAAAAAAGAAAACAGAGAAGAAAAAGTTATTAAATTGAATGTAAAATATTTTATCACTAACTCAAAGAAAATCTGCCACATATTATAATACGAAGCAGTTTAAAAGAATCTTCCAGAAGTCAGTGCACAATTCCATTTCTTAGGAGAAAGAATTAACCATTGAAAGAGCCAATAAAGAATATTCTGAAAAAAAAATCCCCTACTATAACCACCTACACCACACACACACACACACACACTCAACTTAAAAGGCGTTTGTTATCAATGATAGGTCACAAAAAGATGTGAAATCCTCCCCCTTGGGATTCCTTTCCTCATTGTAAGTCAGCCGCATTCCAAGTCTGAGTTAGCAATATTTGGAAAGAAATGTAATGGCCATAACTTGTCACTTTTTTCTCTGGCTTCCTCTTATTGCTTTAGATGTACTCAGAGTTAGGGTAAAAACCTCCTAACTTCAAGGGACTTGAAAGGGCAGCTGACAACAGAAGAGACGAAATACAATTCTCTAGGAATCATTTTTGGATAGTGACCAATGATAACTGTGTAAAGAAAAAACATGATTCCATCACATAGCTTGTGAGCCATGAGGCCTTTACTTGACTAAATTCCTTCCCAAACTACCAAACTAACTTGCATACCCCAAGAGAGAGATAAAAAAATGAAATCCAAGTGACACCTCACACATGAACAGAGTACCCACCGCTACCACCACTGCCACCACCACCCTGGGGTCATGAAAAGGTTTCAAAAATATACAGTGCCCAGAAACAAATTTTCTCCATGATTTTCCAAGGCTCCCAGCTTCCTTAGCAGGCTACTCAGGTAGCTGAGTGCCTGAACTCATAATACAAGGTAACAACATCTGGATTGACATGTTAATTTCTAAGGAGAGAATTTAGCAGTACCCAGGTAAACAGGGAGAGCATCAAAATAAATTACACCTATTATTTCTGGACAAATAATAAGCCCAGATTTAAGTGATCTGATTCAAAGTTGTGCAGAAAGAAAAATAAGAACAAGCGTGGGACCTATGAAAAAATTCTGTAGCAAAGAGAGGTCAATATTTAAAAGATAGCTGATGGTCACATTTTGGCAGAATTTGAACCCCACAAACCAGGAAAAAACTTAAACAATAATTGTTCTATATGCTGAAGGAATTAAAGAAAATCAGAATTCTATGAAATAAGATTTGGAAATGTAAAACATAATCATCAAGGATGAAATGATGCTACCAGAACTGAAAAATATTTTTAAAGAAATAAGTAATGCAATAAGTAACAAAATTATATTAAAAGCAGCAAAGAGTAGAATAAACATGGGAGAAACTGAATCAAAATCTGAAAAGTAGGTTTAGGAATAGCATACAGAATGCAGTGTAAGGGACCAAAAATATGACCACATTAGACAAGACAGTATATTGAGGGAAGAAAACAGGTATCCAACACTGAGATAACCAATGTGTTTGATGGAAAGAACAGGACAAATCAAATGAATGGACTAAAAGGGGCAAGGGGCAGGGGAAAACTACCTGAGAATAATGGAAATACTTTATATCTTGATTTTACTTACATGAGTGCATATATTTATCAACATTTATCAAACTGCATTACATTAAAATATGTGTATTTTGTTGTATGTAAATTATACCTCAGTAAAACAAAGTTAAAAAACAAAAGGCTGACACTACAGAAGTCTAAAACACCAAAAGTACAATAAATCGATTAACTGAAAAAAGCTTATACAAGTGCAGCAAATATTAATAATATTTCATTTAAAATACAAAATATTATTAGTTTTTAAAGACAATGCTAATTAAATACATAGCAGTTTATCAAATTCTGTGCTCATCATTGATTCCTGTATCCTGCCATTTATGGTTTATTTACTTATTTTTTTTTGAGATGGGGTTTCACTCGTGTTGCCCAGGCTGGAGTGCAATGGCACCATCTCAGCTCACTGCAACCTTTACCTCCCAGGTTCAAGCGATTCTCCTGCCTTGGCCTCCCAAGTAGCTGGGATTACAGGTGTGCATCACCATTCCTGGCTAATTTTGTACTTTTAGTAGAGATGGGTTTTCACCATATTGGTCAGGCTGGTTTCGAAATCCTGTCCTCAGGTGATCCACCTGCCTTGGCCTCCCGAAGTGCTGGGATTACAGGCATGAGCCACCACACCCGGCCCCATCTGTGTTCTCTTACATTTTTCCTGAAAAGCATGTGTTAGTCATTCTCTCAGTGGTGACCTATTGGCTGTTAGCTCTTTTGATCCTTGTATATCTGAAGTGCCTTTATTTTGCTGTCACTCTTGAATGACAGTGGTGTTGATGTAAATTTTTACACTATGTATATTATTTTTTCTTAGCACTTTAACGATAACTCTATTATTGTCCAGAATCATTCACAGATTAGAATTCTGTTCATGGTCCAATTGTCATTCCTTTATGACAAACTGTTTTTAACTTCTTGTAGTTTTAGGATTTTTCTCTTTATTTTTTATGATCCTCATTTTCAGTACAAAGTGTCTGAATATAGATGTATTCTATCTGTCATCTTCAATTCTTGAAATACACATCCGTCAGTTAGAATTATTGGTTATTATCTCTTCAAATATACATTCTTCACCATTTCCTCTATTTTCTTCTTCCAAAGCTATTAGATATGTCAAAGACTTGCAGTCTGTTTTTCATGATTTTGAACTGTTATTTCAGGTTTTTTATTTATCTCTCTTTGCATTCTTGGTGAATTCCTTAACATTTTCTTTCAGTTCATTAATTCTCCCTTTGGCCATGTAATCTAGATTTATATTTCTTACTTCCAAGATTTCCAGTTTTTAAAATTTTGACCTCTTTTTATTTTTATTTTTATTTCAGTCTGTTTTTATTGAATACTAGCTTATTCTCTAATGTGAATATTTTTATTTATACCTTTGAAATGAAATCTAAGATGTCATCAATTGACACTGTTAATTAAACTATGACACATGCTAATATACATCTTAAAATTGAGGTGTATATCTTAAGATGCCAAAGGTTTTCAGTTTATTTTTGGATTCTTCTATTTAACTGTACTGCTGAACTTACCTTCTTGTAGGTTTTGTTGGCTTCTTTTCTTAGATTTATATCTTTCATATTATTATTATTATTATTATTATTATTATTATTGTTTTGAGACTGAGTCTCACCCTGTCACCCAGGCTAGAGTGCAGTGGCATGATCCCAGCTCACTGCAACCTCCACCTCCTGGGTTCAAGTGATTCTTCTGCCTTAGCCTCCCGAGTAGCTGGGATTACAGGTGTTCACCACCATGCTCAGCT